TACAGATTGTCCGACAGACTCGCGTCCGGCATACTTGCGTCAAATCCCGACATCTTGCACGATCAAATTCCGATCGCACGTGTCGAAAACCTTGTACTTGAATAGTTTCGTTTGGAACGTAAAAACTTATATTTCGTCATATCCCAACAGAAGAAGACTACGGCTGAATTGGAGACGACATTGCGTAATGACAGGAAAGAGTACTTGCATGCCAAGAAAAACCACGCGGTTACATGGCGCAAGGAGTTCTTGACCATTCAAGTGAAGCAATCTAAGAAGAAATAATGGACATCACGCAAGGCTAGAGATCGCTTTTTGAGGTTACGGCGGATGAAGCAACAAGAGGAGGCGAGACGCCGCCGCCGCGCCCAGTCAAAAGGATCTACCGGTGGTTTGCAAGCGATTCAAGTTGAGGAGCAGTTACCTACCGGACGAGTGGACCTTTGAACTCTCACTGACCGGAGACAAGTTGGGCAAGGGTGCATGCAGGAAAATCGCGCACGGTACGACCAGACTCGATCGCCCTATACGACTTCTCCCATGGACGAACCCTTGTATTCAATGTTCACCGGGGCGGACGCAGAGAGGAACTCCCACGCCCTTCTGGAGGGCCGCCTTCCAATGCCGGATGGGATTGATTCTTACACTCAGTCATTCCTGGAGCAGTGCCGTTTCCATCAAGGGCAGCACTCTATGATCCCGATGGAAGTGTCGCCGGACGATCATACTTACTTCTGGTCCCATAATCCAGAGAATAAGGGATCGGAACCGCATGGGCTTCATAACAGGCATTTCAAGGCTGGGATCTATTCTTCTACGGTGGCCCAATGCGACGCTCTCTTCTGCCACATACCCTTGACAACTGGGTTTGTCCCTCACAACTGGCGGCATCTGATGAATTTCGCCATTGAAAAGAAGCCAGGAGACTTTCGGCTGACGAAAATGCGTACAATTCAGCTCATGAATTCTGAATCCCAACCGAACTACAAGAAACTGGGCCGCCTGGCCATGGCCTACGGGGAAGGACATCACCTCTTGGCCGATGGACAGTGCGGGTCTCGAAAGCACCATCAAGCGATCGATCTTGCCCTGTCTAAACGCCTTGTGTGGGACCTGCTGATTCTCCAGCGCCGCTCTGCGGGGTGGATTTCAAATGACGCAAAGTCTTGTTTTAATCGGGTCGTTCATTGGGTTGCGGTGTTAGCTATGATGCGCCTGGCGATTACTTGGAATGCGTTGCGCATGATGTTTGACACTCTCGCAACGTCCACGCACCGAGTGCGGACGGGCTTTGGTGACTCTGAAGAGAGCTTTCATCCCCCTTCCATGGTACCATTTCAGGGGTGCGGCCAGGGCAACGGAGCGGGCCCGCCCATTTGGGTCTCGGTTAGCTCCGTCATCATCCAGATGATGACCGCGATGGGCTTCGGCTTCGAATGCCTCACCGCAATTGATTCCCAACTGATCACCGCTCAGTGTTTCTGCTTCGTCGACGACACGGATGTGATCAAAGCGGGCAAGTCCGTGGAACAATCCGGCGAGGATATATGCCACTCCGTCCAACAAGCGGCTTCCACGTGGGCTGGAGGCATTAGTGCTACTGGAGGGGCAATTAACCCAGAAAAGTCCTTCTGGTGGTTGATTGACTTTGTGTGGGACTCCAGAGAGGGCAAATGGAGGTTCCGCCGGACACACCAACTTCTACCGGATCATCCATTACAAATACCTGGACTGACTGGCGAATTGGAAGCCTTACGCCGTCTGGAGCCGGATGAGGCAGAGAAAACCTTGGGGGTCATGTTGGCCCCATTAGAAGATCAACAGGCACACGTCGCCCACCTCAAGAGTATCGCCAAAAAGTGGGCTGAGCAAGTGCGATCGGGGCATCTACACAAATACGATGTCATTCCCCTTATCAAGACAACAGTGATGAAATCCCTGGAATATCCTATGGTGTTAACTACACTGGATGTTGTGACATGGGTGTCAATTATGAGTCCTGTTCTCCAAGTCTGCCTGCCGAAGGCCGGCATATGCAGGAGCTTTCCTCATTACATGGTTCTTGCCCCTCTCAAATTCCAGGGTCTGGGCATCCCCCATCCGTTTGGTACTCAGGTGTCTAAACATATTGAGGTCCTGCTTCGCCACTTGTCCAACCGAACGAAAACTGGGGCGTATATGGAGGCTGCGGTTCAAGAACACCAACTTGAGACCGGCACCTCCTTCGGACTCTTCCAGCAGGACTATAGCAACACGGCAATTTTGGCGTCAGATACTTGGCTCAAAAGAGTCTGGAAAGAGTTGGAGGACTTGGATATCTACATTGCTCTTGACTCTCCTGTCCTCTCTCTCCGGTGCGACGGCGATGCCTTGCTCATTGAGGTATTCATGGAGTTGGAAGTGGACCAGGACGCTCTGAAATGGCTCAACTGGTGCCGTATGTTCCTCCAAGTTTGCACCGTCTCCGACATCGTTACCGCCGATGGCCGCAGCATCCGGGAGTCCATGTGGCATGGGGAACGTGACTACGCTCATCGGTCGTCATATCAATGGCCTCGCACTGTCCGGCCCAACAGGAACCACTGGAAGCTGTGGCAGGACCACCTTACTCGAGCACTACTTGTCTCTGACGGAACCCAGCGCCTACTGCGTCATCCTCTGGGGCCATGGTTCGATCCTCTCGACAACTGGAACTGGTTATGGTCTTCTACCCACGGATTGTTCCACCGCCAGGGCCACGGATGGCAACACTACCGTCACTGTCGCTCCTCCACACGGAGCATTCAATGGGACTATCCTCGTTCTACGCAATTGTCCGGGTGCAAACGACCACATAACAAGCCTACCGACAACGGCGTCAGCTTCTTGCCAGCCCCCTTTTGGACCCACCCACTCCCAGCTGACTTGTGCCGAGCTACCGTCCACATTACGCCTTCGCTAGGTACTCTAGCCCTCACCGGCACTGGGACAACACCGATGCAGCCGCATCACGACTCTCAACCGTCTTTGCTAGCTGCCTGGATGGCCGCCTCAGCCAGGGTGACCGAGTATGTTGGCTGGACCCCTGAAGAAATAGAGATTGATGGCGACAAAAGCCTCCTTGCTGCAGCCCTACTCGAAGACCGGCTGTGTGTGATCAGCGACGGTTCTTATAAGCTCGGTCTGGGCATGGCAGCGGTTCAACTGCTTCCACGTAAGGGTGGCAAGGAACGTATTATTGTTCGGTGCCAGACTCCGGGTCTAACTGATGACCAGAGCGCGTACCGGAGTGAATTGATTGGCCTACTGGCCGGTATCATGGTTGTTGATTGGCTCCTGGACCAGTGGGCCCCAACACTTCGATCACCACCCCGCGTTAGGATTG